TGAGAATTTTATTGAATATTGCTCCATTTGTCAACGGGTACACGTACGTAGGTATCGGAAATACTTATAATACGCTCGAGACACTCATGTACAATAATTCACAACAGTTAGGTAATCTCTTTATCCGTAACATCGTCTGGCCAAACAAAACAGAAACGCAACTATTTAAAGCGAATGACGTATTTCTCAACTTCGCCAAAGAACCAATCCGCGCTTATGTTGAATAAACCTTATTTGAACAAACCCGTCCTGTGAGACGTTGGGAAGAGATTGTGAACGGGATTTCCCAAAAAAAAAAAATTACCCAGCTAATTATCGTGTGCGGCGACGTAAGATTTATGCACAACGCACAAGTCGGCCTGAACCAAAATGGTCGTGTCAAACTTGTTAATTGTCAAAAAATTGCCAAACTTCGAGACCATGTCTACTCAGTCACGGTCGAGTTACATCAGCATCACGTGATACACCAGATTTTCTTATATATTCGAGAAAAGATCATATAGTTATCTTTTATATAGTTATCTCATATAATGTGGCTTCGAGCAAAAATTGCGAGAAGGCGGGCCTAAGTTTTGCCTAGTATCTAAATGAATTGGGGCGTCCTTAATTTACACCCCGGTTTTTCCTAACCTGTAATGCTACATATCTGATATTTTCCGAACTTAAATTTGAAATCGATGGTGCAGTAAACGTTTTTATTCGTTGAATATATGCCATCCTTTGAATAAACCATTTCCACTGTAAACAGTCGGAAAATTTTTTGTATCCCTTTTATTTTCTGGATTCGAGTGACATAATTATCATTTTATGCATAAATGTCATAACTAATAAGTCCATAACAATTTGTCCAAAGCGTCTTTCATCTTATTCGTTCGTTTTATCAGAAGAGAAAGGTTTTTGATCTTATTTAGGCTTAGACTTTAACGGGGAAGCAGTTGGTAATCCTGATTTTGGAAGTCGAGTCACCTTACGTGGGGTTTGGACAAGTTGACGAAAGTACTTTATCAGTAGTATCTACAAAAAAAAACGTATTAGTATGGAGTAAAAATCACAAGTATCTCTTTGCATGAATTAAAATAATAAAGAACTTACTTTGAATTTTTTCACTAATTCAACGATAATTTCGATTTGCAAAAAATCCATACCCGAATCTGGTATAACAAAGGCATCGAATTCATCAACAATATACATGCCATCTATGAAGTGCATGCTTAAAATATGAAATTCTCGCCCTATTACAAATGATCGAGTCAATAAACCATTTTGATAAAAAAAACAAAACAAAACAAAACAAAACAATTGCAACACTAACCGAATACCAAAATCGAAAATGATTGCAATTTCATGTCTCCCGGAATACTTTCTTCAGATTGATGTGCATGTTGGTACCAAAGACATATCATTATGGCTACAATTAATAAAAAAATTAAATAGAATTAGCTAGTTCTTATGTATTCAGCATAGATGTAAATTACAGATGTACCTTTTAAGAGTTTCTCGAGATCATCATTTTTGTCGGATATTATCTTGGTAAACGCATTACCCACTACTTCTAAAAAACCGATTTCGACTGGTGTACCTTGTATGTTCATGTATTAGTATAAAATACCATCATGTTTGTCACCAAGTCTTTCGCGTTCGTTTTCATGTTTTGAAAAATTGCGTTGTCGTTTTCGTGTTGTATTTTCAATTTCTCCTCTAGTTTATTATTAATAAAAAATAAATTCATAATTTTGGGAATAACTTTCAGGAGGTGTAGTTTACGTTTTCAACCATAATGCATTCTCGACATCATAAAATATCGACGCCAGAAGAGGATTTACTATTTCGTCTCGATATTGATATTCACTTGTACTACTGTCCAACAAGGCACTATGTTTCCGTAATAACTGGAGAGTTCTAAGAATTAATTATTTCATTTTGCAGTCATAAAAATTCATCATAATACATACAATTGCGTATAAAGGTCTTGGCACCAAAACAATTCATAAGTTTTTCGATGTTCATATTTATCAAACTGTTGTCTTGTAAAATCTGTCATAAGTGAATTGAAGTCTGTACAAAATGTATCTTCATCTACATTCTTTTTGATGACTTCGTTATAATGATCAACTATTTTTTTCAGCAAACATGCATTCCAGCATTCTTCGATTTCTTTTTTATCAACAGACTCTTCGGCCTCATCATTACACAAAACAACTCTTTTTAAAATTATCACCGGATCAAATGAACGCGATAAAAAGTAAATGGACAACGGTTAGTGGTTAGTTTATTTTTTTAATTGTTGTGGGTATGAACTCTAGATTAACAAATGTATTTTATGAATAACGATGAGGCCGAAGAGTCTGTTGATAAAAAAGAAATCGA